ATCTCTAATAAACTATGAGAACTTTATTGAACTACACAAGTAGCGGTTTCGCGGATAAATTGTGCGATATTTATTAAGCTTCAAAAGCAGCGATTTCGCTAATAAACTATGAGAACTTTATTGGACTACACAAGTAGCGATTTCGCTGATAAATTGTGCGATATTTATTAAGCTTCAAAAGCAGTGATTTCGCTAATAAACTATGGGAACTTTATTGAACTACACACGTAGCGATTTCGCTGATAAGTTGTGCGATATTTATTAAGCTTCAAAAGCAGCGATTTCGCTAATAAACTATGAGTACTTTATTGAAGTACACAAGTAGCGGTTTCGCTAATAAATCATACAATTCTTTTAAGCTTCAAAAGCAGCGATTTCGCTAATAAACTATGAGAACTTCATCAAGCTCCACAAACAACGATTTTCGTCTCGTCACTGTTGGTCTTGATTCGAGTTCCTTCTCTGTACAAACCTTAACAATTAGGCCTAAATAATATGGCGACAGAGCATATACCGCACACACATATAAATAAACAGTTTCAAACTTAAGATGTGAACAGCTGATCGTTGTTATAAATGCATCAGTTGTGACAGTAAGCAAGTTGAACAGCTGCACATTCTCGGCATTGCTTTCTTACTCTACATAGTTACTTCTGGCCACCCCCTGAGCGTTTAATTCAGCATAACAAAAAGCCGATCTTAGCATAAATTAAACAAGTGCCACTTTTCCCGCCGTTAGTTTACGATATAATAGTCAAAAGAAATAATCTATGCAGTAGTTCGTTTTCTATTTAGAAAAAAACAACAACAACAAGAGAAGTAGAGTACCATAACCTTATTTATAGTGACTCAACTCTTTGAGTTCTGGGCCAACGACAATGTGAAGGAATGCTATGGCAGACCTTACGTCTGTCAAACTGATTGCGTGTATCAACGGTAGTATTTGTGGTAATCTGTCATTAAAGTTGACGTCGGCAGGTCTATCAACAGCATCTACAACTGTTTCGCTGTAGTTACAGAAGTGAATTTAACGGTTGAGAAATACTTGTTATGATACAAAGAGCCCTATGGAGTTTCCGTTTTAACATCTAAGCCTTTCGTTCACATGTATCAAACATTCACAAGGCTTGTATTGAATGAAGTGCGATACATTTCTAAGTTTTTCAACTTGTGCACAATATGTTTAATCGACGAAGATGTGGATGACTTTGAATTGGATGTTATCATGGGGATGGAGCTTGACTGTTCTCACGTGACATGGTGATGACGTAGCTTTGTTGATTGAACCCCCATTAAAACGTACAACAGCTGGTGGATGAACTAATGCAAAGAAGCGTAAGACTAGATCAACTTATCCTAAATTGCAAAAAGACCAAGCCTCTGGTGGTTGGAAAGCAAGTAGAATAAACTATAATAAGTAAGAATTGCTTTTTATTAATATTTAGTATCCAAGTTCACACAAGGATGGCGCTGTGGTCAGGTTATTTCAGACACATAGATTACAATCTTATTCCTATAATCTCTCTATTTAATGGGGGATTGGCACCGTCGATGGTCTGTTCTAGCTTATTATGCTACTTGAGTGAACTTTCAAAGATTTTCAGACTTGGAACGACACCATTCTTCAGCAATATGAGGTCCAATCCAAGATATACATTAGGTAGGTCTTAAGGTAAGGATGGTCATGGAGGGCGTGGTTCCAAGGAAGGAGGTCCTGTGTTTCAAAAGATATACATTGGGTAGGTCTCAAGGTAAGAATGGTCATGGAGGGCGTGGTTCCAAGAAAGGAGGTCCTGTGTTTCAAAAGATATACATTGGGTAGGTCTCGAGGTAAGGGTGGTCATGGAGGGCGTGGTTCCAAGAAAGGAGGTCCTGTGTTTCAAAAGATGTACATTGGGTAGGTCTCAAGGTAAGGAAACATTGCATTGGGAAGGAAAGTCAATGGAAGACGTGTTTCCACGGAAGAAGATTCTGTGGAAAGCAGAATGCTAAGTGGAAGGACAGTTGAAAGGATTAGCTAGTGACGTTTAGGATAATAAAAATATTAAGGACAGAAATCGTGGTGTCGTAACTTATGGTGCTGCCTATCGTAAGATATAACGATCATTAACCTGATAGATATTTTATATACTATACAACTAATCAAAAATTATTTTATAGTTGAGATGTTTGGTTTGTGTTTGAATTTCTCGCAAAGCTACAAGAGGGTTATCTGCGCTAGCCATCCCGATTTTAGCAGTGTAAGACTAGAGGGAAGGCAGCTAGTCATCACCACCCACCGCTACTCTTTTACCAACGAATAGTGGGATTGACCGTCACATTATAACGCCCCCAAGGCTGAAAGGGCGAGCATGTTTGGTGTGACGGGGATTCAAATCCGCGACCCTCAGATTGCGAGTCGTGTGCCTTAACCACCTGGGCCATGCCGGGCCCAGTTGAGATGTCGAGGAAAACGTGCATATTTAAAAAGACACACACACACATGTATATTGTGAAGATCAAATCAGTAACCGTTTTCTAGTCTTATTTGTAAGATATTAAATTAAAAAGCGACCATTTCACATCTTTGAGCTAACCCTAGGATTATCAAGGGGTCCATGAGGGCCCATTTGGCTTTTTAAACAAACATATTTTTCTAAATTATTTATGCACCAAATTGCTCGCAAGCCCTTGACTTTTTTGGTTACAAGGTTCCTTCAATAGTACAATTAATTTCATTAATTATTGCTTCGTTTTAAAAAGGCTTTGTCTGTTAGTTTGTTTTTAGCGCAAAGCTACACAATGGCCCACCTGCGATCTGTACACCGCGAGGAATCGAACCCTGGATTTTATCGTTGTAAGTCCGTTGTAAGTCAAATGAATAACATAAACATAGATTCCAATTGTCAAATGAGCAACATAAACATAGATTCCAATTGTCAAATGAGCAACATAAACATAGATTCCAATTGTCAAATGAGCAACATAAACATAGATTCCAATTGTCAAATGAGCAACATAAACATAAATCGTGAAATCTTATTTTTATAGTTTTAGCTAAAATACTGAATTACATTTTGAGATTGATTGTTTATAGATAACAATGTTATGAAATGTATTAAACTTAAATTTCAAAAGTAGTTGATTTTAGTATCTTCAGTCTAATTAATATCTTTCAACTATGCTGTAATTTATATTTAGTTTTCGAAAGGATCTTTTTATTTTTATTAAATTACTCATTTTATTTAAAATTAAATTTTCGTTCTTTTGTGTGTTTAAGGTGAAGATGGTACAAACTCCCGACAACAGATGGCGTCACATAATTTGACTGCAGGGTGGAATAATAGGCTAAGTGTCATTAGCGGTAAGTATAATAAATTTCTCACTCAATCGCTGAAAAGTTCATTTTTTATCGATTTTATTTATGGAGGATCATTTTATACATAATTTTTGTAGAACTATTGATTGTGAAAGATAATACTTAAGAGTGTTTCTGTTTAAAAGGAGCAAGACGTAACTACGTCACTGCTTAAATGTGAACGTTCCTTTAGTGTTAATGTGCTTATAGATGCTTGTAAGCAGGTCCTTTAAAAAAAAAAGGAACTCTCAATTTTTCTCTCTTCTCATAAATCACTGATGAAATGAATATCACAGGTTAATGTTTCCTGAATCGTGTTGAGGAATTAATAAATATTAATAATAATACTCATTCTTTTGAACACCCCACCCCTCGGCATAAATAATGTAACTAACGAAAACATACACACCACTCTCACAGGACAGAGATTTAAATACCGTTTATGTTTAATTTTTTTGTATTTAGTAACTAATTTAAGAATATTAAATTGTCTGTATATATATGTGTGTGTGTGTGTGTGCTTAACAACTGGCGTCAGAAACATTAATGCCTCTGATAAAGACAGGCCCACCTGTCGATAACGCTACAGAATTTTATGTTTTTTTTTGTAACGTGATTTATCAACCTATTCAAACCGACGTGTTTTTTAGTGTCATGAAAGATCTACTGACACTCGTTTTTACCGAATACAGAGATTAAAAGCCAATAAGTTGCTTAAGAAAGCTCATTGTGTTGGGATGATATTACTATCATGTTTTCCCGTTCTGTAACTAGCGTAGAATATATATATATCTTTCTTTATGTATACTTCTAAATATCGATGCACATGTTAAGCGTCTTCTCTCTAAACGGGATGTACCAAAGTCTTAAACACACACTGATCCTCTTTCGTAGTTATCCCATAAAAGCTTGTACCATCTTGGCCCCGTGTTTACTCCCTACTCCCTGGGGTGGGGTAAACCCATCTCATTGGATGATACATATACTTGTGTAAGTTATTGTGAGGTGGGAGGTTATTTCTCTTGAATATCTTATTTGGAATCGTTGTTGACACAAGTAATATAAGAATAGTGGGAAACCGCACTAGGACCTCGATCTGACATAAAAGCGGGATATTTCCATAATTCTGTTATCCCAGCTCATGCTATGATCTTTTCTTTGTCTGGTGTAGGGTATTCCAGGAGCCAGTTACAGTCATACAGTAAATAAGATGTCATCCAGTTACAGTCGCAAAGTTAGAATAACTCTCAGAAAACGCAACGCAAAGTTAGAATTACTCTCAGAAAGCACAACGTAAAGTTAGACATAATCTCATAAAGCACAACGTAAGCTAGACATAACTCTCAGAAAGCCCCATCACACCAAACATGCTCGCCCTTTCAGCCGTGGGGGCGTTATAAAGTAACGTTCAATCCCACTATTCGTTGGTAAAAGAGTAGCCCAAGAGTTGGCGATGAGTGGTGATGACTAGCTACCTTCCCTCTAGTCTTACACTGCTAAATTAGAGACGGCTAGCGCAGATAGCCCTCGTGTAGCTTTGCACGAAATCCGTAACAAACAACTCTCAGAAAGCGCAACGTAAAGTTAGACGTAACTTTCAGAAAGCACAGAATATGCTTAACGTAAACCGTTATAATAAAGAAATGTTTTAATTTGGCTTTAAATTGCAGAATCAAAAAGAGGAACGTCGAAGATCGAGTTGATGAAAAAAGAAGGAGCGCCATTAGGACTAATTATTACTGGTAAGTAGACTGTGTTTTACGTATATTTAGGACTAATTATTACTGGTAAGTAGACTGTGTTTTACGTATATTTAGGACTAATTATTACTGGTAAGTAGACTGTGTTTTACGTATATTTAGGACTAATTATTACTGGTAAGTAGACTGTGTTTTACGTATATTTAAAAAGTACTGTATTAACAGACAGTGCTTCAGAACGATGCACCTTTATATATGTATATTAACAGTTTTATTTTAAATTACAATCATTAGTTGTATTTCTAAAGATATATACGTTTTATATATTTTTGGTGAATATCGGATAAAAGCACTTCTGTCAAAATTAAGTACGTTTCGCGTAATTATGCTAAAAAGCACTATGATAAAAGCACTAGACCCCTTGATGTATATTTCTCGATTTTCTGCTAAATGTAAAACACTAAATGTTATTCCTGACAATTATTTGTTTGTGTTTATTAGATTTCGGCGTAAAGCCAAATAATAAGCTATCTGCGATCTGTTAAACACGGGGAATCGAACCACAAATTTTTGGGTTATATGTCCGTAAAGTTGTAGCTGGCCCACTCATGGAAATAAATTTGTTTAATGTATTTTTACACAATTTATGTTAAAATTGCAGAGGCGAAAAGCAATTCTATGAGAAATAAACACGTTCTCTGTGTCTTTTTGTTACATTAAAATATTAATAGTGTCCAGTTTTAACAGAATTAAACTCGCCTTTAAAACATTCACTGCTAATCTGATTATTAATAGCTTTGGTTTAGTGTCTCTTTAAGTAGTAACATAAAATATTAATAGTGTCCAGTTTTAACAGAATTAAACTCGCCTTTAAAACACTCACTGCTAATCTGATTATTGATAGTTTTGGTTTAGTGTCTCTTTAAGTAGTAACATAAAAATATTAGTAGTGTCCAGTTTTAACAGAATTAAACTCGCCTTTAAAACATTCACTGCTAATCTGATTATTGATAGTTTTGGTTTAGTGTCTCTTTAAGTAGTAACATAAAAATATTATTAGTGTCCAGTTTTAACAGAATTAAACTCGCCTTTAAAACACTGCTAATCTGATTATTAATAGCTTTGGTTTAGTGTCTCTTAAGTAGTAACATAAAAATATTAGTAGTGTCCAGTTTTAACAGAATTAAACTCGCCTTTAAAACACTCACTGCTAATCTGATTATTAATAGCTTTGGTTTAGTGTCTCGTTAAGTAGTGTCGGTAGTATTTTATATTAACAAAACGTTGATGATAAAACCAGATCACTTTGATGACAGAATAAGAAAGATGATGACGATAAATATTTTTATTATAGAACGAGAATCTTGATGATTAACAAAGATAATTAGCAAGTATACCTTTGATTATAAGCAGGTATTTAATTAGCAAGTATACCTTTGATTATAAGCAGGTATTTAATTAGCAAGTATACCTTTGATTATAAGCAGGTATTTAATTAGCAAGTATA